GTGATACCATTGAACATATTAGTCCTTTCGTTTTTCTTACCACTGAGGAGTCTTCTGGAGGTTTACCATTCCATTTGTCCCTATACCAGTTGATATTTGAAGTTTTTTCACTATTTGGCTATTATAAACAATACTGCTATAATTGCTTTTCCACTGCTGTGATAAAATACCTGACACAAAGGTAAGGGAGGGAAGGTTTCTTTTGGTTCACAGTTGGAGGGTACTGCCGTGATGGCAGGGAAGGCATGGTGAGAGGAGCTTGAGGTATTTCAGTCAGGAAGCAGAGAACAATAAATACTTGTTACAGGTTTTGTATAGCCTGGGACCCAAACCCAGGGAAGGGTGCTGCCTTCTTTTAGGGTAGATCTTCCTACCTCAATGAACCTAGTCAAGATAATCTCTCACAGGCTGCCCAGAGGCCTGTGTCCTGGGTGACTAGATCCTGTCAAGCTGACAATGTTAACTGTCACAGACTTGCTTTTTTTTCTTTGCAGGAGATACCTATCTGGGTGTTTTTCTTTCTGTGCCAGTGTCTTGGAGTTGAATGGCTAGAGTATATAGTAAGATTAGGTCCAGTTTTTTACACACTCTCCCAACCGCTTTCCAGTGGTCCCACCGTCTCCTTTTCCTCCGGGTTCTCTGCATCTTTCCTAGCATTTGGTCGAGTGAGTCTTTTGAGTTCTCTCCAGGAAATCATTTATTGGCAGCAGGAAATGGAATCTCTCTGAACCTTGCTTTTGAAGGGATTGCATTACTTGCCTCTCTTAGAGGATTGTTCTAAAGTTCAAAGGAGATGGGAGTTTCTGTGTAAGGACCTTTCCTTGCAGAAATGTGACTGGTGATTATGTTCACAAACATTCTTGGTTGTTAAATTTAACACTTGCATATCGGCCTCAGATCTGAAGATGGAAAACATGGCAGAGTTCTAATAAAATGTGTATGTTAGGATGCATCATGTTCCATTTGCATATAAGGGCAATTTTACTCAGATTGTGAGCCTTCTCCATATGTTGGGTTGCCTGTATTGTATATTAAATTATCAGCCTTATTCAACAATGACAGAATGTAATGGTTTGCATATGGTGGGCAAAGTTTTCTTCCCCACTCAGATTTGGATGGCCTGGTAAATGTCTGCTTGTGAACTCCTTTTCAAGTGCTTGTGGGTGGCCTCTTTTAGACCTGGGCATATGCGTTCTGCTCGAATGCATTGGAGGCTCCAGGGAAACCACCAAGAGCAGTCTGCAAAAGTACCCATGTCAGAGTTTTAGTTTGCAGCGCTGATTCTATGAAAGTCATGCGTTTATACATTTTCAAAGAACAGTGTTTTAAATTCGTGTTTTTCCTCCTTGTAGAAGCCAACTGCATCTTTTAGGTTAAGGGGAATTGGCCAATTGGCTGTGGCTTTGAAATCTCATAAAGGTCCCTTATCAGCAGCACCTCACACCTGTTGAAAAGACCTTTGGACACGGAGCTAAGCTGTGTGTTTGATCAGATAGCACTATGCCAGCAAGGAGCCCTGTAGGCGTTTTAGAGAAGGTAAAGAGAACCACAGCAAGGTCCAAATAAGGCGGAGGAGACCTGCCTGGTACAGGGAAAATAAGTTCTTTGTGGCTCATGGAAGTTGGAAGGTTTATATTCACCCTCGTCTGTTTTTAATTTGTGTGTGTGGAGTATAGGTGTGCACGTATCTGTGTGTGTATGTATGGGTGTGAGCCTGTGTGTGGAAGCCAGAGGTCAGCATTAAGTATCTTCAATTATTCCTCCCCCCCTTTTGATACAGGGTCTCTCACTGAACCTGGAGATCATCAATTAGCTTAGACTAGCTGACCAGCAAGCCCCAGGGATCCTGTCACCACCTTACCAGTTCTAGGGTGAAAGTTGTATGCCACTGCACCTGGCTTGGGTGCTGGGGATCTGAATTCTGGCTGTCAGTGATTGCTGACACACCACGTACTTGACCAACTGAACCACCTCCCCAGCCCCCAGACTCAATTTAAAAATTAACTGGGTAATGTTTAATAAAATATTTCATTCTTACTAAATAGACTAAGTTAATAAACTGGGATATGGACATGGGAACTTTTTATTGAAAACAGTGTAGGCGAGGGTCACCGTTGAGGCAGGCAGAAAGCTGTGCACTTGGGGTTCTGGGATGGAAGTGCAATATGAGCTCTTGTTTCATGATTTTAAATTTAATTTTTTTATTATTATTTTGGGGTTTTTTGAGACAGGGTTTCCCTGTAGTCCCAGCAGACCTGGAACTCACTGTGTAGACCAGGCTGAGATCCACCTGCCTCTGCCTCCTGAGTCCTGGTATGAAAGGTGTGTGCCGCCATGCTGCGCTCATGATTTTAGCCTTAATGAAAAGTCTTACTTTGTATTGCTTTGGAAGAGTGTGTGTGTGTGTGTGTGTGTGTGTGTGTGTGTGTGTGTGTGTATGTGTGTGTGTGTGTGTGTGTGTACAAGTGCACGTGTGTTTGGAGGTATTTCAAAGCTTTTTTAGCCATTCCAGTCTCTACTATGCAAATTAAAAAGAGAATGAACAACGTCATTCAGGTACTTGGAAGCCTTTTTCTAGAATTCTCAGAATAATGCGGTTAGGTGTGGAATGCTACTTGAGAGAACAGTCTTTGTGGGTGTCTGAAGTAAAATGTTCTTTTCAGAAGCAGCTGTTTGCTAATAAAGAACTCAGGGCCGACAGCACTGGTGTCATTCTTTCCATGTGTTCCCAGTGTCCCAGTCCAAAGCCAGGAGTCAGAGGGACATGACAGGCCTGAGGAGAAGAGAGAACTTGGCCCAGTTGTTGCTGATGTGTGTTCTTTAAATAGTCTTCAAAATTTAAGTGGGAACACTTCATATTGGTGTTTGATGCTGTTTTCCACCTTTTAGTGGAGGATTCTAGTCCTCTACGAGCAATGGTTAAAGACCTACAGATGGATGGGATAGATGACTTTAAATCACCATCATGTGGGGAAATGAATTCACAGGGGGAGTGCCTTGGACAGGGTGGCCATATGGGTGTGGACAGTCACAGAACTCAATGCAGAATTACTTGAATCAGGCAGTGGATCCATTTCAGTCTTAGGGCCTCGGCCACAGTGATCTTGAAAATGCCGTAGAGCCTCCTGAGCATGTGGTCTCTTCTTGCTGGGGCCTTAAGGTCAAGCTTGCCAGCCCAAAGTGCTTTCACCAAACCCAAAGTTGACTTACTTGGGATCCTCATGACAGGGTGATAGCAATGGTTTTGGTTGGGCTGATGGACCTTATATAAGATGGTCATACATAGAGATGGAAGAACGATTAACCCAGACTTTGATGTCTTCCAGATTTTCCTTTCTTAGGAACCTGAGAGAGTGAGCGAGTGAGTGAACACACAGTTATATATGTTATATGCACAACTTACTTCTAAAGTGACCCCTTTGTTGCATTTTAACTTCTGCTGGATTATTTCTGAATAGATTTGATTTATGGGTTGTTCTTGACTGAAGAAATGCTTTTATTTCTTTTGGGAAGAGGGCTTTTGTTTTTTATTACTCTTTTTAGTTACTGTACAAAATAATGATTTTTTTTATAAGGACACTTCATACATATATATCATTGTATTTTGTTTGTATTCACCCCACACTGTTACTCCACTTCTCCCCCATTCCTACATATGTGCATGTGGTGTATGTATATACATATATGTTTATATGTATTACATGTTCATAAACACACATACATAAATTATTTTAAGGAGACAGATGGCATCAGTGTGAAGTAGAAAGAGTGTGCAGTTAGAAACTGGAGTGGCTAGGGATGGAGAGATGGCTCAGTGGTTAACATTTACTGCTCTTGCAGTGGACCCGAGTTCAGTGCCCAGCATTCACATTGGGCGGCCATAACTGCCTGTAACTTCAGCTCCAGGGGATCCAACACCCTCTGTTGGCCTCCTCGGGCACCAACACTCACATGCACAAACCCACACATTGATATACACATAACACACACAATTTAAAATAAAATAAAGTGTTTTGGTTTTTTTTTTAAGTATTTAGAACCAGGTGTGGTGGTGCACGCCTGTAGTCCCAGCATTTAGGATGCAGAGGCAGGTGGATCTCTGTGAGTTCAAGGCCAGCCTGGTCTACACAGTGAGTTCCAGGACTGCTGGGGCTACAGGGAGACCCCTTCAAAAAGGAAAAAAAAAAAAAAAGGATTTAGAAATTAGAGGGGCTGATTTTTGACCTCCCTGGGTGACTCCCTAAGCCACTGGTTATTTGTTCAGTGGGACAAGAAAAAATGAAAGTGGGATTAAGTTTAAAAAATATGACCCAGTTTAAAACTATAGGCTCAGGAAGCTGTAGTTGTTTGGCTGTGGTCCCATTTTTAGCAGTTCTTTAAGGGTCTGGTAAGAGATCCAAGGAACATTCATATCTGCAGACTGAGTTCTCAATGTTAGTTGGAAAATTTAGTTCCTTTTTTGAAGAGTGTTGTTGAGTTGTGAATGTTAAAATAAACAGGATGCCAGTGGAGTGGGTAAATGGGCACCAGGTCTGAAAGGGTTCTCTGAGGGAGTAACAACAGTGTAGCCACCTGGTTAAACTTGTGGCTTCTGGAACTTACCTTCCAGGTCAAGTTCTCCCTCAGTCTTAGTGGGGTCAGGCAGGTCACTTACCTGTCAGCTTCAGTTTCTCCATCTGTGGTATGGGGGTGATGATTATGCCTGCCTCACAGGTGCTGAGAGCAGGGCGTAATCATCCGGGTGAATTGCATATAGGAACAGTATCCATAGGAACACGTGGATACTGTCCTCTTTGCTTTTGATGTCTGCTGGGACTCTGTAACACTCAGGGATGGGAAAGGCTATGGATAGTGCTCTCTGAAGATTGCATTTTTGCCTGCTTGAGAAAGACATCTGGTTTTCAAACAGATTAGTTTCTTAAAACCCTATAGGAGTCATGGTAATTTTAAATAAAATGTAATCTGAAATCACATATAAGTTCTATTTGTTTTATTCACAGGGTACACGGGTCTGGCTGAGAGAAAATGGCCAGCATTTTCCAAGTACTGTAAATTCCTGTGGAGAAGGCGTCGTAGTCTTCAGGACAGACTATGGGCAGGTAAGAAATCCCCATTGCTTTCTGAAGCCCATGTTCTGCTCTGTTTCACCCATGGGCATGTGGTTTCACCACACAGGCGTGCGCACACACACACACACACACACACACACACACACACACACAATGGGCATGTGGTTTCACCACACAGGCGTGCGCGCGCGCGCACACACACACACACACACACACACACACACACCATACCCTGCAGTATTTTTCTAAGTGACAAATCAGAGCTCCAGAGGGCACGTAGAATGTATATCTGGTGCATGATGGGTATGGTGAAATCCTTACATAGGGAGACCAGTGAGTGTCCTAACTAACGTGGGACAGAAGGACACGGCCGTTGCCTGGGTTCCTAACTGGGTATCTTTCCCACCTCAAGGATTGCTGTAAATGTGGTCCAACACAAAATTGAAAGCTTACAGTGTTATGAGATTGTTTTTCAGTTGTTTTATAACTTGATTGCATGGTTCTTGAACATGAATTTATAGTGACAGCTTTGTGTTGCAATGTTAAAACTGGGACATGCCTGGTAGCATCTGTGAGAAAAACCTCCAAGGATTGATATTTAATGATTGATTTCCTTATTATTTTCTCTTGAAATCCTTAAACTTTCCTAGCATCATCTGCCTGTTGAAGCTGCCAAGACCAAATACCATAGACAGAATTGCTTATAAACAATACCAATTTATTTCTCACAGTTCTGGAGACTGAAAAGTTCAGTGTCAAGGCCCCAGCTGATTCTAGGTCTGCAGAGGGCCCTGCTTCCTGGTTCAGGCGAGTCCTCGTGGTGGAAAGAGTGAAGGAGCTCATAGGTCTCTTTATAGGAGAGTAATCTCATTCCCAAGGATTCCACCCTCATGACTGACTTACCCACTATGGCCCTGCCTAGTAATACCCTTGCACTGGGTTTAAGATTCCAATGTGGGGCTTGAGAGATGACTCAGCAGTTCAGAACATTGGTTGTTCTTGCAGAAGACCTGGGTTCGAATCCCAGCACCCACATGGCAGCTAACAGCTGTCCGTAACTCCAGTTCCAGGGGATCCAGTGGCCTCTTCTGTCCTTCAGAGACATGTACGTCATGGGTGCACTTACCTACATGCAGGCAATACACACATACACATGAAATAAAAATAATAAATAATTAAAAGATTCTAGTGTGTGGACTGTTGGATGGGTGGGGAGTTCTGGGGTGGGTGGGGAGTTGTGGGGGCACTCACATTTGGGTTCGAATCCCAGCACCCACATGGCAGCTAACAACTGTCCATAACTCCAGTTCCAGGGGATCCAGTGGCCTTTTCTGTCCTTCAGAGACATGTATGTCATGGGTGCACTTACCTACATGCAGGCAATACACACATACACATGAAATAAAAATAATAAATAATTAAAAGATTCTAGTGTGTGGACTGTTGGATGGGTGGGGAGTTCTGGGGTGGGTGGGGAGTTGTGGGGGCACTCACATTCAATTCTAGAGTAAGGGGAAGCACTGGCATGCCAGAGAAGAGTCTGGGTGGTAGTGTTCTGACCACTCTCAGTGCTGAGGAAACTGTGTAGCCTGAGCTCCTTTATTCTACCCTGTGAGGTACCTGAAGCTTCTGTGTGTGTGAACACTACTGTGCAGGACTTTGTAGAGTACTATGAGTGACAGTTGCTATCACTAAAAACGAAGAATCCAGAAACCATTCACGTAATTAATTATATTAATAATTTTGAGAGGAGGCTCTCCAATTTACTAAGGTAACCAATTTTCTTTTTTTAAATTTTATTTAATTTTATTTTTATGTGTATGAGTTTTGCCTGCACATATGTAAGCGCACCTATGCATGCAATGCGTATAGAAGGCAGAAGAGGGTGTCAGAGCTCCTGATCCTGGAGTTATGGACAGTTGTTAGTTGCAATGGAAATGCTGGAAAATCGAACCCTGGTCATATGCAAGAGCAGCCAGTACTCTTAAGTTCTGAGCCATCTCTCTAGCCCAAGGTAGCCAATTTTAATGTTGCAAAGGAATTTCCACCTCAGAGGAGCATATTAAATAACAGAAAGTCATGCGTTGAGTTTGCAAGTTGTGTTGAGGGTCCCTTTTCTACAGTTGGAGGTAGAAGGGCTGCTGGATTCACTTGGTGGAACCTTTCTCCTCTCCTGGATTCATAAGCAGTAGCAGCACTGGACTGCTTTCCAGTTTGGTTTCTGTTTCATCTGAGACTTTCAAATGGCTTTTCATTGTTTATCTGGAGGATTTGGGAGTGTGAAAGGGGAAAGGGTACGGGGAGGGATCACATGTCTAACGGTTATCTGCAGCCTTGACCAGGCCATTGCCCAGCCTAGTTACTTTTCCATCAGCCTCAGGTAGTATGGCATGATCTGGAAACTAAGTGCTAAATCAGTGAGCCTGCTGGAACAGAGGCCCTGGTGGCCTGGTCTGTGTCTAGCTTCCTCTCCCACTTTCCTCATAAGAGAGCTCAGTTCTTCCCAGGCCCTGTGAGCCTGTCTCAAGTGAAAAGGGAAAACAGTTTTCAAACAGTGTGCCATTAACAACTGTGTTCCTGAAAGCACTATGGAATAGATTTTAATGGAATTCTTTTCTTGTTCACTTACATTTTTAATCCCAAATCTGCATTTATTTTATTTTTTTTAAATAAAAAAAATATGATAAAGGGGCTGTAGAGATGGCTAAGTGGTTAAAAGCACTGACTACTCTTGGAGAGGATCCAGGTTCGATTGCCAGCATCCACGTGGCGACTAACAACTGTCGGTAACTCTAGTTCCAGGGATTTGACACCTTCTGACCTCTGAGGGCATTTCACGACACGGGTGCACTTACACACATGCAGGCAATACAGTCATACACATAAAATAAAAATAATAAATAAATTTTTAAAAAATTACGATAAAAACATTTACCATTAGCTTTTTTGTCTCAACCAGTCACCAGTGTACACGTCAGTGATTACGTGTATCTATGGCACATGGCAGATCCTCAGAATGTTTTTGTCTCCAGGCACTGAAACTCTAGATCCCCCTAAACACAAATTCCTCCTGGTACATCCCAGCCTTTTGGTTAATATCTTTTTTTGTTTCTGATTGTGAAACTTTAAATACTTCATGTGTGTGGTATCATTCAGCACCTGTCCTGTGACTAGATTCTTCCACTCAGTGCACTGTCCTTGATGCTCTGTCTGTTTCCACCTAACTGGTGTGGCAGAGGCTTCCAGAAGGACAGCTCCACATTTCCTTCAGTGCTGCTACCCCCATGTGAACCCTTGCTGGCCCCAGTGAGTAGGCGGCTCTCGGTAGAGAGCGAGCGGACTGGGTGGTCAGGCTGCTCTCGACAGTATTTATAGAGTGTGGGCTTAGGAAGGACTAAACCGGAATAATGTGTGCCTAAATTCAAAAACAACACAGTCCTGACCTCTAATCTTCAGTTGGTCATTGATTATATGTTTTATGTTACCAGTCCATCACTTTCAAATATTACAGTTATAATTAGCTTGGTGATTTGTGTAGGAATTGCAAGTTCACAATATGAGAAAGGTGAGGCATGATTCAAAGAACTAGGCTCCGGCTTGGGTCAAGAACTGGCAGAGGCGGGTGAGGCTGCTCATGTACTGCCTTACACCGCAGCTTCTCGGGAACCTGGAAGGAGGAGCACCAAGGCCAGAGTCCAAGTCTACCCTGGGCAAGTAGGCCAGGATAGATTCTTGAAGGAGTTAGGGTCACAGATGTAGACCTGGGCCTTGTCCTGATTGGGCCTGTCCATGGTCACTTTTCAAGATACTGGTTAATTCAGCCCAATGTGGGATGGTATTAAAGGGTGTTACAACAGTGGTATTTCTTGGGGATGGGAAAATGGGAGGGCCACATTTACCAGATACGAGTTCTGAAGATGGATAGAAGCAATGGTTGTATAACAGTATAAATGTGCTTACTGCCCCTGAGCTGTCCACTGAATACATACATCCAACTGATAGACTTTGTTAGTATGAGTATTTTACTACATATGCATAAAAGATGTCAGTGTTCAAGCTCAAATGATTTGTGTCCAAACTATCAAATGGGCATTTGTGACTGTCTTTAAAATAACCCCTCTGGGGGCTGGAGAGATGGCTCAGCGGTTAAGAACACTGACTGTTCTTGCAGAAGACCCGGGTTCAAATCCCAGCACCCACATGGCAGCTAACAACTGTCCATAACTCCAGTTCCAGGGAATCTGACAGCCTCTTCTGACCTCCATAGGCATTGCCCAACACAGGTGCACTTACCTATATGCAGGCAATACACGCATACACATAAAATAATAAAATATTTTTAAAAAAACCCTCTGGAATTTTTGTTATCCTAATGGGATTTCTTACAGTGTATAAACAGTCCTCAAAATGATGGTGTACTTTCCTTTGATTTAGAATACAATCACCTAGGCATCTTATTAAGATGCCTGTGTCTTCTATTAGGCAGGTGTGGGTGGGCTGGACAGGCTGTACTTGTCACTAGCTCCCTCTTTGATAACTTATGAGTAGTAAGGATTTAGAGTCTTCCCGGGGGCGGGGAGGGGGAATGCTTAACGGTCATAGTTACCTGAAATGAAAAACACAGAGGTCAGCCCACTGAGTCCAGTTTATGCTGGCCACATAGGCATGGGTGTGGGCTCTGTACCCTTCCCCTGCATGTTAGAAAGTAGTTGTCTTCTTGGAAAATAAGCTGTGGACTGAGTTTTGGAAGAGGAGGTTTAGAAAGCACCACCCTTCCTGCAGAGTGCAAAAGGAAAGGTGCAAGAAAGCATTGAACATGTGTCTTTTTCTAGAACATTCAGGAGGTGCACTGGCAATCACAGCAGCACCCATCAGGAATGTGTATTGAATAATAAGTTCTAAATTAGATTTCTCACTTGGGGAGACTGAAGTATTTTATTATCTTTGTCTGGAAAATGTGTAATTTGATTGCTCCAAAATAGCTTACAATGGTATCAATTTACCTAATTGTATTTTAAAGAGTATTTGTT